CTGCTAAACTATCAAACAGTTCTGCTCTAGTTCGTTTGAAATACATAGCCACCCAGTGGCGACCACTCTTTTGTCTGCTGTCTGTATTCACAATGACACCCACTCCTTTCTTCAACAGTGAAGGTGTGAGTGTGGGTAAAGTATATTTAGCATACACTCCCAAGACATGTCTCTCTAAGACTGAATCACACTGTATGGCACATTGCAATTCTGAGGCTTTCATGTTGATGATTACTTGATATACACATTCCTTGCCTTATCAATTTCTATGATAGAGTTTCTTTCACTCATGATGACACAACTCAAAGTTTTGGTGAGAGCAGATTTGAATTCAATTTCAAGTCTCACATTTCCCGATTTCACCAGATTGAGATATTCAGTTCCTACTTCATCCTTTAAATCTATGTTTGACTGGTTTGTGTAAACTATAAGCATTTTGGTTGTTCACAAATCGTTTCACCTTCCTCAGCTTGATACTATGGTGACTCTTTTTCTTCAATTCATCATGCAGTTTGGAAGGTCCATAATAAGCGCCCGGAGATTGTGAGGGCCATAATAATACTTTTCTAATGTTTGGAGGGTCCATAATAAGCGCCCGGATTGTGATGGCCATAATAATACTTTTCTAATGCTTTTTGCTGTTTCAACTCACTGCTTTTCTTTTGGGAACTCATGTTGTACTGAGGAGAATGTGACTTACTCAACAATATATATAACATAAAACACATTTGGTTTGATTATTTATTTATACCACCACTATCCCCCTATTACAATTCACAAAAGTGTGTTACAGTACATAATGATCATCACCATGTTACAGAGCATGATTAAAACACCTCTGAATTTACACTGATAGGATATGTCCTTCAAAATCTTGAGATAACATGTCTTCCATCATCCCCTCTGGATCATAGTCACACAAACAGTCAATAAGTTCATCACAACACACATGACACTGGACTTGTCCACTATTGCAACTCACGTGACGCAGCATATTATTGTGACGACAAATGCTACAATTTCTTTGAAGAGGAGTAAGTTTCTCTTTTTCATATGGATTTTCCGCTGTTAAATCACCTGCGACATTCATCTCCATGTGTTGTTTCTCTTGCTGTTCAATGTCTTCCATGAGTTGTGTGTAATCCAACCACAAGTCATTTAAGGTGGACTCTGTTGGAAGCCAGTCATTGAAGTTAGGTTCTGTAGGAGGTGTTATAGGTTCTATCAGGAGTGATGGAGATGGCTGCGGTGCAGTAGGTGAAATAGCGCTGAGATCGCTCCTATCAATAAAGAAAACAAATATAAGATATAAATTGAGAAACAAAATTATTTCATTGTAAACAATTAGGTAGAACAAATATAATTAATTATCGTAATGATTACACTTACCCTGGTTTGATTGCTGGACTGGCTACCTCCTTTTTGGTCTTCCGCTTTTGTGGTCTTTTGCTCTTCTTTGCCACTGGTTGTCTCTCGTTCTCCTTCACTTTTCTAGTTTTCTTAGCCTTAGGAAGAGATGAGATGGGAGATTTTTTATTTCCGTTCTCTGAATTCTCGTTGGCAGATGTGGCAGCAATTTTCATGTAATTCAACAGCAAACTCAAGAGAGCGGGCGATACTGATGGCAGTTTCTCTTCTAAGGTCTTCATTCGCTCTGCCATCTCGGTGTACGTGGTTTTGTACAACTCACTTGTTCGCATCATAGTTTCATGCAAATGTACCTGAGTATTCACAATATCCTTCACTTCTTGAAACACACTAGTAAGTAACTGGTCTGTTGAGAAGCCTATACGTCTCATGTCCAACACCTTCTGCGCCATATTGATTGCGAGAAGAAATGCTTTTCCAAAACTCTTCTGGTCTATGATAGCAATGATAACTGATTTGAAATGTCTTATAGTGGAAGGTGCAACATGGGATTTTGTAGTGCTTGTGCTGCCTGATTGGATGTAGAGTAGTACACATGCTGTCTGACTGGTTGGTTAACAAGACACGATAAATGGAATGGCAAACAACACAAATATTTAAAAGATGTAGGTGGCCAACATTCCACCCATTTCAAATTTAATAGCAATGATTTCAATATATCAAATTTGATTGGTTCCTAGTTAAAACATTTCAATACACATTCCTATCTCCGTGAGTCATGATGTTAAATAAAGACGTCACCTAACTCTTTACCGGCTGGTATAGAACCATAGTGTAGGCTATCATTGTATACAATAGGGTTAAGGGTTCAAAGGACAGCTCCTGGATTTTATGGAATGTGCTCCTGAAAACTCCTTTGGTATGTAGGAGTACTCCTTAAAAAATGCGATTGTTCTCCCCTGGAATGCTTTTGTTCTCCTTAGGAATGCTATTGTTCTCCTTAGGAATGCTTTGATGTCCGAAACTGATTACTTATATACTACTAGTGTATTAGGAAACAGCCACACAGAACTTTCATCTGAGAAAATCACATTGTCCCAGTTAAAATTTCTATGCTGTAAACACCAGTTCAACCTTCGCTCCTTTTGTTTAGGTTTCATGATCGGTGATGGAATTCCTCGACTTTTCTGCCAACCCATTGCATGCAGCTCAGTTCTAATTGTCTCCATACAGACAGCCACAGTTCCTCTATCAATCATATCCAGCCTTAAGTTTTCTAAACTCCTTCGTTTGTTTTTAGAAACAAGAATACCAAGCCGCCTCCTGTCACCGACAGTCAATTTTCTGGGCTTACCTGCGCCTCCCTGGTGCTCAATGCCATATATCCATTTGCAATATTTTTCAAAACACGATAAACAGTGGACAAAGGGATGCCTGTTCTACTTGAAATCACTTTAGCTGATCTGATGTCCTTGTTATAATACTCTAAAATCAACTTCCTCTTCTCTAAATCATCCATACTGAGGATCACTGAAAATGTCGTCTGCTAGCAAGTAAACAAAGGGGGATAACTCTTCACAAACTAATGAAAAAGGATTAACGGACTTGTCGCTCTTGAATGAAACCAAGCACTTAATAGCTGGTCAAGGTGGTTTATACTCGAAATCCAATTAAACATATTCCTAAAATTCTCAATAATTTCTGGTCATACTATATAATGCCACAAACGCAATGAGAGTGAGTAGTGAGAACAACAGCTAGTGCATCACCCCAATGTTTGATCATACCATCCTTTCTCTCCTCTATTTTCTTACTTTCCTATATCCCTATACTTTTTTCTTTGTACTTTATTCATACACCCATAAATCCTGTCGTCTCCCATTTATTCCGCAGCTTGAATATATGTGTTGTGTGTATTGTCCAGCTGTATGAATATTGTATCACTTGCTATCACAATAAAAATATATAAAAAGCTAGTGCATCGCCGACGCAAATGGGCATGGGAGGCTTTTGGAATGGCTTTGCAATTCCACTGCCAAGTCACGAACGTCATTTTGCGTATTTGGTACACTGCTAAAAAATTGTTTTGACTTCCAAACGTCAAACAATTAAGCATCCCAAATCAACAGCAGTTTTCAAATTCTTCCAGCAGTTTAACGTACCCATACACATGTCACGCAACGGGCCACATGCATCATATGCGTTCAATTCAATTCACTAATTATTATGTTTACATCTGTATTTGTGTAAATATGTACAGTTTCCTTTTGTGACTAGTATCGGACAGTATAGCCAATCACATGAACATTTTAATAAAGACTGTAATCTCTCCCTAAGGAATATTACAGTTGTCAGATTTATTGATGACAATGCTTAGATTCTCATGCTGCCTTCTATATTTAAAATTATGGATGGTTATAGAATAGTATTATATATATTTTTTAAATCTGTAGTGTATTGTGTGTTTGTGAACTCACACATCGATCGTGAACAACACCAAAATAGGGCTAAAAGCTCAATTGAAAACTGCGAACATTATCGCTAGTCTCTTCTCGGCTTCGGCTTGTCCCAGAATAACACGAGTTGATTCGTATGATTCACGAATGGTTTTCTGGTCTTAGCGCCAGCATAGAAGTGCAGCCATATATATAATTATTATTATGCTAACATTAGAGCCAATATCCAGCTCAGCGTCTTAAAGGCGCTTTGTTTTTCCCTCGATCACTGGATGTCAATCTCAACGGCACGTCGTATTATCAATCTCAACTCCCTGGGGACCATACAACTCTTGCAGACACTAGGCGCACCGAGTTAATGTGGCTTTCCCATCCTTACGAGGTACCCATTCACAGCTGGGTGGACTGAGGTACACAATCATAGTACTTTGTCGAAGTTTACTGAACGTTGCTGTGCCCGCAACTAGGTGCTTGAACGTATTCATGTGGCCACCATCTGGTCGTTTAGCAACGGATTTGTGGGTTCTTTTAAGCACATAGTATGTTTTCTTCTCATTTCTGTAGCCTACGCATGAAAATCCGAGTTAGAATTGGTCTTCAGCAACTCCTGTTTGTTGTAAGAGGCGACTAACGGGATCGGGTGGTCAGGCTCGCTGACTTGGTTGACACATGTCATTGTATCCCAATTGTGTAGAACGATCCTCAGGCTGTTAATCACTGGATTGTCTGGTTCAGACTCGATTATTTACAAACCGCCACCATATAGCTGGAATATTGCTGAGTGCGACGTTAAACATCAAACAAGCAACCTTTCTGTAACTAAATCGTACAGTTGTTGTCTTTTTACTGAAATCTGCATAGCCCACATAAGTTAAACCAAAAGATTAAAAGAAACACTGTTTATAACTTAGCAATGCCTGTATTTCCCACGGATGTTCACACAAAATTACAAATAGAATACGATATCAATGTAATGCCATATTACAAATATGGCAGGGTAGTAGGCATGAAACCAGTTCTACTCTGATACGATACCCTGCTGGGCGCAGAGCGATTGCTTAAACATCGTATTCCAATGACCCCGTGTTCATTGCAGCTTGGAATAGATTACCAGCAACAATGCTGCTCAACAAACGGTATCAACACAAGGTATCAACAAACACGGTATCAACAAACGACTGACTGACTGAGTTTTGGTTTTACGCCGCTTTTAGCAATATTTCAGCAACATCACGGCGGGGGACACCAGAAATGGGCTTCACACATTGTGCCCATGTGGGGATTCGAACCCGGGTCTTCGGCGTGACGAGCCAACGCTTTAACCATTAGGCTACCCCACCGCCCCCGTATCAACAAACGGTATCAACACATTGTATCAACACGGTGTCAACGCACGCCAACACCTCAGTACCACTGAATTGCAGGAACACGAAGGAACAATGTATTTACTTTATTTCTTTATTTCACTAACTCTTACATCAACACTTAACGAATCAATAACTATATAATTATATAGATCATAAACAATGATAAACTATATTTTTCTTGGGAATTTGCTATAATAAAGTACAAAGTAATATTGAAAATAAATACATCATAGGCAATGCAACTCTTGATCATTATGTTAAAATTCTACTGAAAGAGGGCATGTATAACTATTAAATGATAACTGTCAATCATTATTACCTACAATGTATAACAGTTTCCCATATTTCACGAAATATAACAGTTCTTTCCTGTGTTCAGATCTCTCGTTGTCCATTCCAAGCTCTCGTCCACGTTCAGACAAAAGAAACATGGACATCATTTTCCAATAATATATTTTACACGTAAAAAGACTGAGTAGAAGTTGTCATTCAAAATAGACAATTGTTCATGAATATCCGCCATATTTCAATATACTGACTATCGCTTCAGCTTAGATGGGCTAACAGAAGCAAGCAGGCACACACATACACACACACACACACACACACACACACACACACAGAAGCCATGATATCCCCCCAGTCCCCCTCCCCCAAACCCGACCCTCAACCCCGAACCCGACCCTAACACCCCACCCTAACCCGCACAGGTCACCCCAATGTCTATTTCTCGACTGGTTTCTTCCGCTTCGCCGCCCGCTCTTCTTCCAGCCTCTTCACCTTCTCCTCCCAGACCTGGACTTGATGTTCCGCTTTCATCTTCTTGATGAACTGGCGACGTTTCTTCTCGTCCTTGACAATTTTGTGCTTTATTTCTCTGTCCAGCTGTTTCCTCTGTACTTGCTCCACCAATCTGAGAAGACAAACTGAGTAGTGTGTTGAGAGCCATTAGTGTTATACAGTGCATATATTTCTCTTTTATTAAATGCTGTCAATTCTTCATCAGCCGGTGAATATATTACATCCTTAATCTAGGTCATGAATATTAGTGGCACATAATGTCAAAGACATGTACAGTTTTGGGGAAAGAGTGACATCTGTTTTATGACATTGTAGGAGACTGTACCTGTCAAATCTGCGAAGATCAGCCTTCTGTCTCCTCCTCTCAGCTGTGTAGAAACATCGCACTGGGATTTGCTCCAGACGTCGGGGTGGTTTGCCACGGGGAACAACTCCCTCCTCACCGGGGATAGAGAAGGCAACTCCTCCGCTGGACTGACGGTCGGGGACCAAGCCCTCATCTCGTAACTGATGAAGAATCTCCGCCCCAGACAGGCGGGGTGTGGGCCGTGTCACCTGACACTTGGCGTAGTACATCTCGTGAGGGCAGTTGATCTTGCCCGTCAGAGCCTCTTCGGTAGACGTCTGTCTGAAAGGCGTGACCTTGGTCTGTTTACATCCCATCGTAGCACAGATACGTCTTCCACACTGCAAGACTCTGCAATAATGACCAAGACAATGACGTGACGTCATAAATACATGACGTCACAGACAACAACGAATGCTGGTTTCATCATCTTAAAAGCTGGTTACCGGCTCTCTTTGCGCGCGCCAACTTGCGTATATATTGCGATATGCGAGACGGGGCCCAGCTTATCATCATCTCCGCGCGTCGTCAACTGGTGACAAGAAGAGACGGAGACCAATTTGCCTTCGCAAGAAGATATGGGAGATCGTATTCCGCCAAACTTCTGTTTGTTGATTTGAAGGGAATCGAGAAGCAGAAGTGAACTTTCATGTTTTCACTAAACTTTCATAAAGCGAATATAGTTACCATCAATGTCCTGAACAAAAAAACAACAAACTCATTCGCATGTCGAATGAAGGACAGATATATGGGTGTACCTCTAAAAACAATGTTTCAAACTCACATTTTCTCAAAAGCGAGAGGAACAGCATAAGTTTGTTTGTCGTTTAACGCTACACTCTATGGTGCCAGCCATATGGAGGCGGTCTGTAAATAATCGAATCTGGACCAGAAAATCCAGTGATCAACAGCATGAGTATCGATCTACGCAACTGGGATACCATGACATGTGTCAGCGATCCTGACCACCCGATCTCCTTAGTCGCCTCTTACAACAAACATGGGTTGCTGAAGACAAATTATTGGGCCTTCATGGGTAAACTGAATATACTAGTCACAAAAAGAAACTGTGCATTGCTAAAATCCGTTATTTGCTGTATGTTTTGAAATGGTATAATCGGATAATTACTGAGAGTATTGATTTTCAAAAATAACATATTCATGATCACTGACATCAGTTTTACATGAAATCGCTAATGATAATTCTGAAACGTTGCCGATGAATTTAGAATCGGTACGGATGTTTTCGAAAATACACAAACACGAACGCCGAAGTGCGCTTTCCGCCATATTGGATAGTGTTTACAAAATCACGTTTCGCGAAGGCCGGTATTGAGGCGCCTATTACATCACGTATATTTCATATTCAGCTTCGAAAAATGCATCACTGAATTCCCCATACATTTTAGAATCAAATTACAAATGGTCTTTGTCATCAATACCAACTGTCTAGATACAATGAGACAAACATAATGGGTGTGAGAACGAACGCTGTGCTCGAAAGACTGCGCTTGTTTGAAATGTACACAAAGACAATTTCCGATTTTACACTGATAGCATTTTCTGAAATTTTCCAACATTCATCCGTCTATTCATTGCTTGCAATGGCTCAATACCTTTGGAATATGCATGGAAAGAGTATCGTAGCAAGAAATAGGAAATTATAAATAGATACAATGCAATGATTTGATAATTCATAAGAAATTGTCAAAGTTTCCGTGTAGCGTGACGCCATGACTGACGCAAAATCACGCAGAACGACAACGGTAATTATCTGCATTTCTGGCTTCTTTTCTTACTTCTACTGAAAACGATACAAACATATAACAATACACAGATAGTCAGAATCATTCTGATTACTTACATCTCATATTTATGTACAAACGATCCCTGAATCAATGGAAGTGTCCTCGCAAAATCCTGTGTACCGTTGTCAGCAAAGCCGCCATTTTGTAAGAAATCGGTCATCGGTTGTGATGTCATACGTCAACATTGTTGTACATATTAGGCAATTTCTTTTAGGTGAAGGTCGGTTGAACAAGAGTAAACACAATCGCCCAATCCTTCCGATTACACTGTCAGTATTATGGTGTATATTTTGAGTATAGTTCAGATATTTTTTCATGAAACTGGCTTCAGTATCTACATTTAGCCTTGTTCAATATCATATCACACGTGCATAAAGGGTTTACTGTGTTTTATTCTTTGAAAATTTTTGATTGTTTGAATAATATTTACATAAGAAATTGACACATTTAGTGCAGTACACCATATTCTAAATCTTTACACAAGTGTTAGAATATCAAACGTAACCATAACTGCAACTACTTTAGTTCCTATGATGTACAATATTCAATGCATTGGGACTGATATTGCAGTTTCATATGAACAGGTTAATGAACGGCAATTTAATTCAACCTTATAAGTAAAATTGATAATATTAATGAAAATGATTGATATATGTTCTGAAATATATATGCACACATATTTAAAGGAATTGTCTTATTCATTGCATATTTTTGTGTCGTTTTATAGACAAAACAATGATGTATATTGATTGGCCAGGTGTGCGTTTGTCGGAAACGTTTTTTGATTCACTATCATTGTTTTCGATAATATATTCTCCCAAAAAAGAAACGCATCATGAAAATAGCAATTTCATGTAGCAATGAATTAAAACGTGATTCATTTTACAAAGGGTTTTGCTCTGTTTATGAGTCCTATGGTGTTTATGTTTTGAAACATCACAACAAAACGCACCATCCGTAAAATACCCGTATTGAACAGCATGATTTTCAATTTCAGCGTGTAGTGTCACAGAATACACAATTCACATGCAAAAATGCACGTGAAAGTTGGGGATCAGATAGTCTCAATGATAGGTAAAAAAGGTTGATCGCTGTCTGTCGATTATTCACTGTATTTGGAATATTGTTCACGAACGCAAAATGCCAAGTGAAGCCAACCGTCATATCGTCATTGGTTTGCTTGAAGCTGGCCAGTCTCAACGTGCAGTTGCCCGACGCATGAATGTTCACCAAAGCACCATTTCACGGCTCTGGGAGAGATATCGCCGGCAGAATGCGGTAGCAGATGCCTCTCGTAGTGGGCGACCTCGAGCGACCACTGCAGCGCAGGATCGCTACATCCGGGTACATCACCTGCGTCAACGAACAGCTACGGCGACCAGTACCGCTCGACAAATACCCGGATTGAGGAGGCTTTCTGCACAGACCGTCAGGAACAGGTTGAGAGAGGCTGGTTTACGTGCCAGAAGACCTTATTTTGGCCCTGTGCTTCGACAACAACATCGTCCACATCGAGTTCAATGGTGCACCAACGTTCAGGCCTGGAACCTACCGAATTGGCGTAGAATCTGGTTCAGTGATGAATCACGATTTCTATTGGAACGACGCGATGGAAGAATGCGGGTGTACAGACGTCGACGTGAACGTTTCACCGACGCTTGCGTTCCCCAGGTGGACAGATTCGGCCGGGGAAGTGTCATGATGTGGGGAGCGATCACCTGCCGTAGGAGAAGTGATTTGGTGATGATCCAGGGCAATCTGACAGCTCAACGGTACTGTGACGAAATCCTACGCCCACACCTCCTTCCAATCATTGATCGCCAGAGGGAGTTGTTTCAACAGGACAATGCCAGGCCCCACACAGCACGTCACACTAGAGACTTCCTCCAGAACCACAACATCAATGTGCTCCCCTGGCCCTCAAGATCACCGGACTTAAACCCGATCGAACATCTGTGGGATGCCCTGGACAGACGGGTGCGACGCCGTAACCCTCAGCCCCAGACACTTCGGCAACTCGCACAGGCACTACAGGCAGAGTGGGCTGCGATTGGGCAACACGAGATTCTGAGACTTATTCGTTCGATGCCGAGGCGATGCTGTGCAGTTCTGGATGCCCACGGTGATCACACGAGGTATTGACTTCAGCGCCACCACACGTCTCCATGTGACACTCAAACTGACTTTCCTCGAGTTGGTGCCAAAGACGGACAAGTCTGCATTCCCAGTGTGCGCTATATTTCATTGACTCATAAAGCCTACAAGATGTTTCAAAATAAACATAAAAATACAGTTGAAATTCCTATATGCGTTTCTTTTTTGAGAGAGTATATAATCAATTCATATTCGATAAAAAATATTTTGATGACGGGATATCAAACTCTAACTACTGTATATTATTCGAAAGTTGTTTATATATGTCATGTCTTAATTTGGACAAATCTTACATCCACATTGTAATATATAGCTATCTTTTTGCATCTTTCATTGCATACTTATGAAGAGAAATAGCTACATAATCATAAACAAAGAAAATTCTTATCCTAAACAAAATATTCGGGTGTTGTGAAATATTATTTTCCATTTACGTTAAATCGATGCCAAACAGGTGCGCGTGTTGTTCACAATAAGATACACAGTCAAACCGTCTAATTGGTGATATATTCAGGACACAATTTAAATAGAAAAATGAGTCATTTTATGTTTTGTCTAAAGAGTGTTACATTCTGCAATAGAAGCCGAGACCTTTTATACAATTAATGGAAATTAGGTGAGATATATACTTATCAGCATACCAATGTCGTCTTTTTCCGACGTGTCAAAATGCATAAACAAGAAATGACGTCAACTAAAATGTTGTATTATTTTCAGCAATTTCATTACATATGAAGATATAAAGATGCAAAATTAGTCAAAATATATCTACACAAACAGGAGAATATGGGAATCTAAGAACTAACTTATATACCGGATAGGGCCATCCAAATCGCTATTCTGTGATTTCACATGTAGTACGTTGTCATATTTTCTTATAAATTGTGAAACTACAAAAGCTTATGGATCCGCTCACATTGGGGAACTTTGAATTGGAATAGTTTCGATCACCGTGAACAAAAAAATACCGAAAATATAGCGTCCGTATCCACAACAAATTCTCTCCATGTGAATTGAGTTACATTGACCTAGTGTTAAGCATAACGGAGCTATGCCCCTTTGCATAAGCACAGGAACCCAATTCATATACACTTATGTCGTTCAGATATCAGGCTGTATTTTCTTCGCTCACACTTTCCATAAAGATGCCAAACTATAAAAATCGTAGCACAGTGCTTTTATCGGTGCGCGATAAAAAGCGGAGAAATTTACTGTTTTTTAACGCATAACAAAAACTTGGACAACATTTAGCAAGGTCTATTTCTCAAATCGCCGAGGTAGTTGCACTTATATTTAATATTCTACATGTCTGTGTAATTGAATAGCCATACGTAGATCCAGGACCACGCGAGAACAATTCTCGCACAACGTTCACTTTTCAAACTGTATGAAAATGTGTGCCTGAAGAAAAACTCGGCATCCAGAGGGTTAAAGGTCACATGCAACGTAAAACACAACTTTACAGATCCTGATACCTTTCGGTATGGACTTACA